ACAATCCGGGTCCTCATTTTACCCACCTCGGAAGGATGGCTGAGTCAACCCTGAGCCGGTGAGATTTGAACAGCTGAACTGCAGAATTGCAGTCAGCTGAAGTAGCCTGCAGTGCTGCATTTAACCACTGATGGAGCACCTCCAACTTCTGGAGTCAAGTCGTTCCACTGATTAATTTTTCTCACTCTCAGGAAGTTTTTCCTTAGTTTTAGACTGCCTCTCTCCTTGATTAGTTTCCATCCATTGCTTCTTGTCCTGCCTTCTGGTGTTTGGAGAATAGGTTACCGCCCCCCCCTTTTCTTTGTGGCAGCCCCTCAAATATTGGAACACTGCTACCATGTCAACCCTAGTTCTTCTTTTCACATGCTTAATTCCTGCAACTGTTCTTCATATGTTTCATCCTCCAGCCCCCTAATCATCTTCATTGCTTTTCTCTGAACTCTTTGTAGAATCTCAACATATATTTTAGATCATGGTGGCCAAAACTGGATGCAGTATTCTAAGTGTGGCCTTACCAAAGGACTATAAAGTGGTATTAACTCATCACGTATTATTGGGGGAGATGGGTAATGCTTATTATATACCATCCAAATGTGAAGACATTTGAGTCCTAAAGTTAACTGGAATTTCTGGGTATTTGGGCCATAGAAATATTGACAGGATTTTGTCCTTCTTATATTTGAGACCATCCCTTTCTCTTATGTGATTCCTAAGCAGAGAGAAATTATAACTACAATTCTTAATGACTTTATGTCACAATAGATGTACAAAAACATAGGTCTAGTGCATTACGTTTTAATCATATCAACTTCCCCAAGCATGTTGACTGGGGAATTCTGGGAGCTGAAGTCCAGGCATCTTAAAGTTGCCTACGGTGAGAAGCAGAGGTAGTATTCAATCAGTTCTGACCGGCTCTGGAGAACCGGTAGCGGAAAGTTTGAGTAGTTTGGAGAACTGGCAAATATCACCTCTGGCTGGCCCCGCCCCCATCTATTCTCTACCTCCCGAGTCCCAGCTGATCAGGAGGGAATGGGGATTTTGCAGTAACCTTCCCCTAGAGTGGGGAGGGAATTGAGATTTTACAGTATCCTTCCCCTGCCATGCCCACCAAGCCACACCCACCAAGCCATGTCATGCCCACCAAGCCACACCCACAGAACTGGTAGTAAAAAAAAATTCAATCCCACCACTGGTGAGAAGAATGGATCTAGCGGTTAAAGTGTTGGGCTAGGAATAGGGAAATGTGAGTTGAAGTCTTGCCTTAAGCCCAAAGCCAGCTGGGTGACCTTGGGCCAGTCAATCTCTCTCAACCCTAGGAAGGAGGCAATGGCAAACCACTTGCAAAGTCTTGCCAAGAAAACTGCAGGGATCTGTCCAGGCAGTTACTGGGACTCAACCTTGATTTGAAGGTTTTCCCGACCAACACGCACAATGTACACAATGATACATTCACACATATCAGGGAGACTTCATACCACATGAAAACTGAGTGGAAAACGCTTGTCAGACATCCCTTGTCCAGTTCATAACTGGAATAAGTGGTGAGAAAAAAAAACAGTTCCTTATTTATGAGATTTTTCAGTGAATATTTGTTCTCCCTTGGCACTTTTTTATTGTCTAAGAAATGGAAAGAAAACCATCTCCCTTTAAACAGCCAAGAAATTTTTACCAGACGCTGTTTCAGATCATTATCTGCTCTTTAAACAAAGTTTAAACAAGATGAAATCTCTTTCAGGTTGAGCTTGACTTCTAGAGACTTTCATAGACACATCCATATTGTTTGGTTTTTGGCAACACAAAAGTGGTTTTCCATTATCCTTTTCAGATCCCCCCCCTTTTATTACTTTATGTAGTTTATAAGCCTGGGACCATCCAAATACTGACCGCATCTAAGCCTTTTTACGCACTTGAGATCCATTAAGGTCTAATAGATGTTGCCAGCTAACTAAACTTCTTTCTTATCTTGTTTGTTGGGGACGGGGAAAAAACATTGTAGGTTTATGAGTTCCTTTCTGCTTTAGTGTAACTTGATTATGTTCCTGGACACCAAAGTGCAACAAAATGATTTTAGAAGCATATAATATTTAAGTTCAAAAGCCATTGCTTCTATTTCCCAACGGCTATTCAAAGAGTATCTGATTTACTATAAGTCTAATGAAGTCTAATGCAGTCCTTGTTAAAATTATTTTTTTTAATATAAATTGAGGACTTTGCAGAAGACATCATGCAGACCTATTGACTGTGATAGAAGAGATCTCTAGAAGAAATTACTTTAAGGTGTGTGTGTGTGTGTGTGTGTGCCAGTCTTAGGATTTTCTAAAAACAAATTAAATTAAAGTTTCTCATTAAGGATGAAACTGAAACCAAAGCAGGAACAAAAATAGCGGCCTGTATTGTCAGAGTTTGCTGCAGAAATCACATCCAGAAAGCACACACAGATAACTGATTCAGCAGGATGCACAAATGTACAATACCAACAGTAGATTCTTCCAATGAATCTGAGAGGAGAGATTGTAAGCAGGTTCAAACACAGGCAGGCTAGATTGGTTTCAGTTCAGAGTTCAGAGCTTAATACAGACAAAGAGAACCTCCTCTATACATGGCAGTCAAGCTAAGTCTAAGCCACACCCAGGCACCTAGCTGTCTCCAGCAAATACTGTTTCAGTTTCTAAACAGCCTTCATTGGCTAATTTAGTTGCTATGCCTATTCATTGGCTGACCTTGTTGCCATGCCCTATTCCAGTCAGTCCCCAATGGATGACCTGTTGCTACATCCTATTCCAGTTCATGAATATTCTGACACTGCTCCCTTTGTGACTGGAACAGACAAAAATTCAATTACCTTAATATACTTCAGATACCTGTATTTGAAGACCCAAATTTAGTTCCCTTCAAATACCTGAGAATCCTTTTTACTGTGATGCAGCCTTTGCGGTGAAACAAAGATCATCCACAAATGCTAATAGTCGACAATCCCCACCTTTTAACTTTCCAGTGCATATGCAACCATCAGCCTTGCAACTCCTGAACCCAAGACTGACCTGTTGCTACGTCCTATTCCAGTTCATGAATATTCTGACATGTATAAAGTACAGGAGGAAGATTGCAGCTTGAAATCTGACAGTTGTTGGCTATCAACCCCTCGTGTGAATTATGGGCAGGATATTTTCTCCCCCAAATGACTGGCTCATTCCATTTGAGAATGCTTTGAAGGTATATAGAGTAACGTTCAGTAGCTAAAAGCTCAGATAAATCTCAGCAGGGATAAGAAGACTCTTTTGCACCTGGTTGCTCCTCTCATGAGAAATTCATTTCCTCCAGTTCTTTTTTTCACAAGAAGGAAAAAATGGTATGAGAAAATCAGTGGTGGGATAATATTTTACTACATGTTCTATGGATATGGCTTGATGGGTGTGATGTGGCTTGGTGGGCATGCCAAGGGAAGGTTACTGCAAAATCTCCATTTCCTCCCAATCAGCTGAGACTCGGGAGGCAGAGAATAGATGGGGGCAGGGCCAGTCAGAAGTGGTATTTACTGGTTCTCCAAACTACTCAAAATTTCCGCTACCAGTTCTCGAGAACTGGTCAGAACCTGCTGAATGCCATCTCTGTACTGGATATCTATACAATTAGTCCTTGACTTATGGCCACAGCGGAGCCCAATATTTCCATTGCTAAGCAAGACAATTAAATGAATTTTGTAAGCTCCCAATGTACTGGGACTCCTCAGTCCCAAGGTCCGTTTTCAGCTGCAGCAGCCTCCTGCAGTGGTCTGCCAGTGAAAACAGAGCTCAGGAAGGCGGCCCACCCAAGCTCCATTTTTGCTGGCAGAGGCACTGCAGGCTGGTCCTTTGATGTTTCAAGGGTGGCCCCACGGGGCAGATCTAGGCACCCCGTGGGCTGGATCTGGCCCTTGAACCTTGAGTTTGACACCCATGCCATATGTAATAAGATACTACTTTCCTGCAATTTTATTTTATTTTTAATCCTTTTCTCTACAGATCCCTAACAGGAAATCTGCCATTCTCATAGCATCTGTGTGTCCTGGTTTAGATGTTGAATTGATTTTTAATTTCCCAACTAGAGCAAATTGAATAGAGACAGATAAGATATTCTGAAACAGTTTTCTATTTATAATATTTTACACAGCAATAAAAAAAATAGAAGCTGCACGGACCTGGCCATGTGTTGATTTTAATTGGCCCTCTCTTTTAAGATTAATCAGGTCTTCAATTATTGAAGGTCATAAAATACTCTAGTCTGATATTTAATTATTTGCTCCAAAGGGGAGTCGTGATTGGCAGGTTCTAGCAGAGCAAGGGGAGATATTTCCTGCTTGGGAGGAGGTGCAAATGGAAAAGAAACATTTGCCTTACCTGTTGGCCGTGATAGAATACAGCTAACAGGAACATGGCCATGAGGAGCAAGGAAGCTTCTTTCGTCCCCAGGAAATCCGTACTATAGAGAAGAAGAAAAGAGAGAAGGAGGAGGCGATTAAAAAAAAATCAGAAAAGAAGAGCAAAGCTTAAACTAAAACACGTTTTCTATTCTTTTGTTTTTAATCCATCAGGTATGAATGTGGGCCAATTGCTAGGAGATTGTGAATTCTAGTCCTACCTTAAGCATGGCAGCTGGCAGTGCTGGCAGCAGATTCGGGCAGTGAGGAGGTTGGGGAGGAACATGGGCCAGTCCTGGAGTCTGGGGAAGGCTCTGATGAGGGCTCTGCATCAGAGGCAGAGAGGGGGGCCAGGGCTGTATGCCAGCTATCAGCTGCCTTTGGAGTCAGACATCAGTGAGGCAGAAGAACAGCTGGAGCCTGTTCCCAGTATGTGCATGGATAGAGTTGCCAGACAAAAGGAGCAGCTAAGGAACAAGTGTCGACTTGGGAGTAAGGCCACAGGTGGACGGTGAATGGCCCCTCCCATAGGGAATAAAAGAGGAGCCAAAGGAGAGTGGAGTTTGCAGGAGACAATTAGTTCATTCCTGCATTCTTGCCAAGTATTGCAGCATCTGAAAGATATAGGCCTGGCTGCTCTCCAAGCCTGACAAAGGTCGGTAATTGTGAACTATCTTGAAAGACTGTGGGAGAGGAAAGACTTTGC